GAATTATCGGACTCCTCCCTGGCACAAAGAAACCTGGACTGTGTAAATCAAGAAAGAAAATGTGTAAAGCACAGTTGATTGGCCTTGTACGCATGCGTTTTCTTATCTCGTCACGCATTCTCGCACAGTTCCCCAATCACGTTAGGAAGAAAAGATTACATGACAAAACGAAAAGAACGCGCGAAGCTGAAAAGATCAATTGCACGTAAATGACGATGGTGTGAAACGCATATTACATAAACAGAAAAGAAATTAAAAACAAACTACAGAATGCCGCATAACCCAAGATGGCGTCATCTTTCACCACTTACCTGTTTCTTGGCCTGAATGACGACATTTATCATGACGCAGACAGTCCTGGGTACGACTAGTTCCAGGCTAAAACGAGTTTGTTTTAGCCAACTTTCAAACGAGGCTTTTGTTCTAAAAGAAACGGAAAACAATGGGCGTTAAGTTATAGGAACTCATACAAAAGGGCATCATTACGTGAAACGGCTGGCAATAAAGACACTGTCAAAGCCTGAAAGAAAGCTGGCAGTTATCGTGATAGAGCGATTTTCAATTGAGTTTCGTAAAACCAAAACCAAAGTTATCATTCCAGCCAATCACAAAGGACACAGGCCGTCCAATGAACCAATCAAAACTCGAAGTAAACACCTGTAGTTGACGCAGAGCGCGGGAAAACGCGTGCGAGCGTGGTTTTGGTTTTACTTGTGATTGAGTGAAGAATTTTAACCCAATAGAGCGGTTTTCAATTGAGTGTCGTAAAACCAAAACCAAACCAATTACTTACCAATTAGACTATTCAGCCAACCTCAAACTGCAGTAAGACCACAACTAAGACCAAAGTAATTGTCTAATTACTTTCGACACTCAAATAAAAACCGCTCTAATTTCGTGAAGTAACGTAAAACCAACACAACAGCGAATTACTTTCGACACCCAAGTGAAAACCGCTCCAAAACATTAAAAAGTACAATTACTACTGTATACTACAGTCTGATAATTAGCCTAGAGCATACTACAAGCAGGGAGAACTGCACTGGATTGGACTGAACTAGACACGAGTAGAATTTGACGTTTGACGATGCCCGAGGGAGAACTGGTTTGTTGATGTTAGAGCATACCTTTTGACACAGGACTGAACCATGTCTGAAGCCATTAACTTGAGTCTCTTCATGAGATGTGATGCTAAAATCTCATCAGGCCAGTTTAGTTCAGCTATGAACTGCTGTAACACCGTCAGTTTCCAGAAAAGGTCTTCTGACGCACGACACCCCTCCCTGTAATCGAGAAAATGGTATAGACTCACGGTCAGGAAATACAGTGTAGAATTATGGGTAATGATACGGTGACGTATCCGGATGAGAAGGCGTTGAGGTGGATTAGCCATGTCAAACGCCAAGAAGCCTCCATCACCAAGACTGCCGTACACTGGACGCCAGAGGGAAAGCGAAGGAGGGGCCGCCCGCAGATAACGTGGTGGAGGACGGTGAAGAAGGAAATGAAGAAGATGGGAAAGATTTGGAGCGGCATTCAAGTCATAGCAAAGGACCAGCAGATGAGGAAGGATTACATTGCTGCCCTACACGCCATCAAGGCGTAATGGGTGAGTGATTACTGGGTAAAACAGAGACGTAAAACTGTGACATTACACGCAACAATTTAAACGTGATTCCACATCTCCAACATTGCGCGCAACGGCGGGCACAAGCGTCAGTCGTTCACTGCGCTCTAGCAATCCAATCTCTTGCCAAAACATGAAGATTTGTTTCTGTTCACAGCTGTTTTTCTCTGAGAGCAAAAAAGCTAAATAGCTGCACTTTATTCGCCTAAGTGGGTGCTAGATCTGACTACCTTCGGCATTGTGATGAGGCAATCGCTAACATCAGAACCTGCTTGTAACGTCACCAAAGTTGAAACAATATTACAGCACGTGGCCAAATCGAGTGGAATTGTTGTGCACAACATGTTTCCCGGCCTAAATCGCCATTTAAACCTTTGCTATCCTTCTCAATTCCTTAATCACTCACACAATGACCGCCCCTCCCCCCTCCACCCTTTAGTAGCTATATTTTTACCTCAACCAGAGAGAAATCAATCAACACTTACCTCACGGGACTCCAGTTCTCTTTTTGAAATCCCTTGTGAAGTGACTGTGCAATCGAGGATTCCATCAGATCAATGTATCGAATAACAAGAGGAGCGAATACGTCTCGTAAGTGAGCGTGAAATTTCCCGCGATTGAGGTTGACTAAAACAGAGCAAACAACATTATTATAGTTATAATAATCGTACTTAATCTCGAAGCATCTTCGTTATCTCAAAGAAAGAAAAGTCAAATTGTTTATTTGTATGATTTAAGCGAAAGGCAATAGCAAAATCAATAAAACACCTTACAGAGCGTTTTTCAATGGTGTTTCGAAATAAATCAGGCAATTACTTTGGTTTTGGTTTTGGTTTTACTACTGTTTGAGATTGGATGAGTAGCCTAATAGGTAGGTAATTGGTTTGCTTTTGGTTTTACGACACTCAACTCAGTGAAATCCGCTCTGCACTACGAGTGTTAATACTCTACTTTCAGACACTTAAGTTAACGTGTCTTAAGCATTTAAACGCATTTTAAAACCAAGAAAACTTGATGTAGTTAAACTGCAGCTACTCTGATTAGTTCTAACTCAAACACTCTACCAGTGCTTTTAGTCACGTGACAAACTGACTTTTACTTCACTTTTAGGTGTGTGTCTCGAAAACTTTTTCCTACATAACATTCGTCAAGTGTATCGTTTTCAATTCCTGTAATCTCTTGTTGATCCTTCTTATTTTCAGTTTTACCATGTTTTTAGTCCTACCTTTCTAACTATCTTTTAAGGATCCTTCGAATTAAAGGTGATTATGTGAATTGCAAATAACTTAAAGGACTGAGCTCACTCACAGCATTTTGATTTAATTTGGGCCGCATAAAAAATTACGTTCAATTTGAAGCAAACCTGAAAATAATAGATTACTAAGACAGAAAAACACCAAAGAGATAATAATAAACCATAAAGGAACAAGGATGGTTAACGATNGAATAACAAGAGGAGCGAATACGTCTCGTAAGTGAGCGTGAAATTTCCCGCGATTGAGGTTGACTAAAACAGAGCAAACAACATTATTATAGTTATAATAATCGTACTTAATCTCGAAGCTTCTTCGTTATTTCAAAGAAAGAAAAGTCAAATTGTTTATTTGTATGATTTAAACGAAAGGCAAAAGCAAAATCGCTAAAACACCTTACAGAGCGTTTTTCAATTGAGTTTCGAAAGAAATCAGGCAATTGCTTTGGTTTTGGTTTTGGTTTTGGTTTTACTACTGTTTGAGATTGGCTGCGTAGTCTAATAGGTAGGCAATTGGTTTGGTTTTGGTTTTGGTTTTGGTTTTGGTTTTACGACACCCAACTGAAATCCGCTCTGCAAATACGAGTGTTAATACTCTACTTTCAGACACTTAAGTTAACGTGTCTTTAGCATTTAAACGCATTTTAAAACCAAGAAAACTTGATGCAGTTAAACTGCAGCTACTCTGATTAGTTCTAACTCAAACACTCTAGCAATGCTTTTAGTCACGTGACAAACTGATTTTTATTTCACTTTTAGGTGCGTGTCTCGAAAACTTTTTCCTACATTCGTCAAGTGTATCGTTTTCAATTCTTGTGATCTCTTCTTGATCCTTCTTATTTTCATTTTTATCATGGTTTTTAGTCCTACCTTGCTAACTATCTTTTAAGGATCCTTCGAATTAAAGGTGATTTTGTGAATTGCAAATAACATAAAGGACTGAGCTCACTCACAGCATTTTGAGTTAATTTGGGCCGCATAAAAAATTACCTTCGATTTGAAGCAAACCTGAAAATAGTAGATTACTAAGACAGAAAAACACCAAAGAGATAATAATAAACCATAAAGGAACAAGGATGGTTAANATTACACTGGCACTGTAGTTTGTTGGTAAAACTGACGTTTCAAATGTTAGGCCTTGTCAGAGCAGAGACAAAGGGCTAATGTACACAATGTCTTCTTTCCTAATGAGCTGATAAGTTCAACAGGACTAAGAAATCAACTGATAAGGAGCTACATCGCGGTTTCGCATCTTGAAAAATCTAGCCTAAATTTTTTAAGTTTCTTGTTTGTAATATGTGTTAATCTCCTCCATCCCTAAACATCTTTGTTCTTTTATTGTTTATTATTATCTCTTTGGTGTTTTTTTTTTTATCTTAGTGAACTATTATTTTCAGGTTTCCTTCAATGTAAAGGTAATTTTGTACATAACTCAAACACAAAACACTTGGCTATTTACCTGAAGTAAATATTTACCTATGAAGCTGAAGTTAATAAGCCAGGATAAATTAATCTGCCACTTAGTTGGTAAAACTGACGTTTTGAGAGTTAGGGCTTGTTAGTGCAAAGAGGCAAAGGGCTAACTCATGAAATGGTTTCTTTCCTATGAGCTGATAAGTGCGACAGGACTAAGAAATTGCCTGTTAACTCAAATCAGCTGCAATTAATTTCAGGATATTTTGAAAATCACCTTCAATCTTTGCAAAAGTTGAGACCCGTGTATAATTGACAAGAGCAGCCTGATGGAGGCAACTTCTCATTTCTTTTCTGAATTCCTCTGGTGGGACTGGTGTGGATATATCTTTCATCATAACCTGAAAATGACAACAAGATAACCAGGCCAGTTAAAAAAATTACAACAATTAAAAATTACTCATCCCTAATAAGACCTCATCATCCAAAGTCTAACACACACAGCACACCACACCTCCAATATTATAGAAGCCTAGTATGTTTCCATAATAAATAATTTTAAATATTTGTACAAAAGCACCTCCAAGCATTGCCACCTACACACAATAGAAATCTCAAGCTCCTAATCTACTTGTTAAATTGAAAGTTGTTTACAGATTCATACTGTTCACAGTGGAAGTCAAAGCTTGCAGCTTGGACCTGCAGCATAATACAACACCATAAGCTTTGTTCTAATCTTTTAAAAACTGAGTTAAGGAATAAGAGAATTCCAACATAGATATACAGTTAAAAAAGTAAAAATTACAAGGCTCACCCTCTCAAATAAAGCGATTGTTGCTTTCAGGGCACCTTCAGGTCTTCCAAAGGGAAACGAATATCTACAAAAAAGTACAGAAATTATATTCATCAGCTTAAGAACATCTAAATAAACCACAAACTGTTTCTCTATTCTTTTAGACCAATATTATTGATGTGAGACCTATCACTGGATTTACAGTTTATCCCCAGTTATTGGTCTACCTGAAGCGAGTGATTTGATAGGCAAGAAGATTCCAGAGTCGTATCTTGATCTCCTCAAACCAGGTTTTCTCATCAACTGTGATGGTTCCTAAGCCATCTGGCCTGTAGTAATTAACAGTGGTATAATGAAAAATGCAATCAATAATGTCTTAAACCAACACTAAGCTGATTGACATTTGGATGATTGACTGTGGGAAGACTGACGGTGTAGTGACTGACACGAGAATGATTGCCAGTGGGGTGACTGACATAAGAATGATTGACAGTGGGGTGACTGACATAAAAATGATTGACAGTGGGGTGATTGACGTACGAATGATTGACATACGAATGATTGACAGTGGGGTAACTGGCATAAGAATGATTGACAGTGGGGTGACTGACATACAAATGATTGACAGTGGGGTAGCCGACATAGGAAAGACTCACAGTGGGGTGACTGACATAAGAATGATTGACAGTGGGGTGACTGACATAGGAATGATTGGCAGTGGGATGACTGACAATGGTGTGATTAAAAGCAGGATCATTGACAACTAGGCTATTACAAACTTTCTTCAGAAACTTAGGGAGGGGGGGGGGGGGG